GTTACGCCCCCCCCCCCCCCCCCCATACGGTCAAAGGATTTCGGCATGCAGGACTATGAGTACCCCCCCCCCCCCCCCATACGCTAATTTGTTGCTTGCCCATGTCACGACGCGGTCCGCTGCCCGCACCGGACGCCAATCTTGTCAGGTCTTAGAGACAAAGCTTAGGTACGCAATCTCCAACTGCCGCGCGATGGACGCGGACGATACGAGCGTCGGGCGAACGGCTGCTGGCCTAGGTTGGGGCGGGGATCCGTGAGGAATGAACGAGGCGCGTTTAGGGCCGGTCGTGTGAGCACTGTAGGTGATAGCAGTGTCGAGTCCGGAGGGGAGCGACCTGGGGAGATAAAAGGGTTGGGTTGCGGGAGGTGGCCGCCACTTCTTCAAAGTGGTCGGTCGGGAATGTAAGAAGACGTGGTGAGTGAATACGCAGTGCGAGGTTGTCCTGCTGTCTCTGAATGTGTTTGGGGGTGAAATTATCGAGACTACGATTTGTGTGTGTGCAGACAGAGGTGTGTTGGTGTATGTACTTGCATGTGTGTCCTAGAGGGGGTACACTCTTGAGGTTTTTCTTATACCGTCTTCTTCTGTTCCGGTGTGCCTTGTTTGGGTTTGGTCACAAATGAGCGCCAATGCAAAGTTTGCGGTTGCGTGAAGCAAAGGATGCCGCCCTTGGTGTGCCTGGGTTGTCTGTGTGTATGTGTGTCTCGTCCTTGACGGTCTTTTTGTTCAAGATTGTTCCATGTTCCATACTGTAGACTTCCGCGCGGGAATGGGCGCGACGGGATTCATTCCTGATCGAACGTGAACAACACCAGCTGTCGGTGTCAACAGCGTGCAAGACCACCACCAAATATAAAACAGCGCGACATACATCCTTGTGTTGTCCGCTGCCCCTGTATGGAATTTTAACTATACATATGGTATGCAGCAGTGTTTATAAGGTTCTCTTCTCCGGAGGCGCTTCTTCTTGGGACGATGGAATTCGTGTTGAATCGTACACGCTTTGGATGACGGTGTAGTTTGTGCGTGATTTTTTGTCGGGGGCAACCGCAGGTTGTGAATCTAATAGCCGGAACGGAAGGTTGTGTGTTTTGGTACCAGGCTCTGTACCTCGTTTGTAAGGTCAGTTTTCGTTTTTCGTGCTTTTTCTCGGGGCCCAACTGTCCTTTGGAAGGGTCTGAGACACGCAAGAATCGATGTCGCCCGAGCGTGTCTACCCACATGTACATCGAGCGGCGTACGTGCTGTACAATGGTGGCTCTTCTCATGATTTTGTAGGTGGCATTAGCTCTGTACGCACGGCAAGCGCTTTTGTGCACGGGTGTTGCACACAAGAATATCCGTGTAGGGTACTTCGTTCTCGTGTTACAAGTAGATGTCTTCACTCCTAGTTTTGGTCGATTCGAGGAGGGTGGCACCGATGGACGCATGGTACCATGGACGCTCTCAAGTGTCTCGTGTCTCTCTGTTGCTCGTTGTTCCCCGTTGGTTGGCACTCAAAAGCAGCGTGGATGCACGATTCTTGAACTCGTGTGCTAAGCTTCCGAACGCTAAGATTAACGGGAGGGGCCCGCTGGCGTTGCGGGCAGGCACATGTGAAATGTATGTTTGTTTTTTGTCACCCTCCGAACGCCACGCTACTAAGCGCGCTTCTAGAACCTACTTACTTGTTGCACAGGCCAATAGCAGGCTAAATAACAGGAAAGGTACACTTCTTTTTTGTCGACCACTTGCCTTACCTCTCAAGGTATTTTGAGAACGTGTCAACAGGGTACAACGAGAGCGCCGTATTGTCTGGCCTACACGTTGGTTCGTAGATTCCCCCGCCCTCCTCTGAAAAACAGGCACACCCACATGAACTTTTACATCTGACGCATTTTGCGGCTGCCAAAACTACTGTTTCGAGCGATTGAGTGAATAGAGCCGTAGATAACGGGTGGCAAACCTGTCCCTCGAGATTGTGTGGCGAAACTTGTCAGGCGGTGCTCGCCTAAAGGCAAACGAATACGCCCTTCTGAACTTTCTAGTGACAAGAGTCGGGGGGGGGGGGGGGGGGGGAGGCGAAGGCTCACCCACGTCATCAGCCAATCAAGAAGACCTGCTTGGTGCGATTGATGCTTCGTCGTGGACGGGGAGCGGCTGGAATCCACACTACCGCCCCCATTGAAGCAGTGAGGATCGATCCGAAAGTCGAAGTTTAGTCAAGCGCACAGCAGAGTATCGGGGAATGTGGTGCGTCAAACACGAGTCCGCGTGTTGGCACAACAGCGGGGGAGACCACACGTACCAGAGAAAGGAGAACGCGGGAGGGGTCAGGTGAATGCTTGGATTAACGAGTTCAACACAGTCGATCCACTCAACCCCTCCGTTTCCGCACTTTCGCAGCCACGACAGACCTAATCACCACCCATGCCAACCGAAACGACAAGTTAGCAGTGGTTCCCCTTCATGAAAGCGTTGAAGAATAGACCACCGCTTTTTTTCGGGGCGGACCAGAGGGTTCTTAGCGATGGTACACATACCGCCCTGGCAAAACCTTCCGCACCCAGAAAAACCAAGGAGCGGTCAGATCCACGCACAACACGCTGACCGAGCGACTCGAAACACAAAACGTTAAGACGCACGTCTATTTTGTTGCATGCAGTGAAGATACGAAACCCTTGCCGTGCTGTGTGAGCCTCGTTCTACTCTATTTTCCTACCAACCAACCTACCTTCCTACCTACCTACCGCCGTTCCCTTGAGGAATCATGCGCTCGTGTCGTTGCGCATGCTCTGCTTCGGACGCATGCGTGGAGCAAAAACAGCAAACCACACAACGATTTGCAATCACCAAGCCTTGTCACACGGTTCTTTACGTCTGCCCCAAGGCCTTCCGAGAGTAACTAACACACGAAGCAAGCACAAAATCTAACCGTTAGTTGCACTCAAGGGTGATGGGATGGGGGGGGGGGCGAAGACAGACAACTAAATTTGCGACGAAAGGCACTATGCTGTTTTTCCGCTACCTCCGAAAACTCAACACAGCAAGGCAAGCAAGTGCACGCCTCCTTCCGTTTTTCGCCTTCCCCGTGCCGTAAGAATCGGGACGCCGCCTCTCGTGTGACTCTTAATGGTCCGGTAATAAAATCTTGAGAACAGGATGTTCGGCGTCCAAAGTAAGTCTCCGTGAGGCAAGCAACCTTCGTCCCATCCTGAACATTGGAGCCGAGGGAACTGCTTCAACTAGTCTATTAGACCGTGCCTGCCTGCTTGCGCGGTTCCCATATTCACTAATCTCGCGCCCGTCACAATCCGCCCGAAATCTATCATCGACCATGTATAGTATGATGGTGTGTCGTCGTTGTCGTTGGCTCACATCATCACAGCAGGACGTAGGCCTACGGATCGGCAGTGGGACGACATGATCCCTCTCAAAATCGCGAGCAAATAGACGGCCAACGCCACCCGGCTGCTGCTGCTGTAGGCATCCAATCAACTCATCATGCCGATTCTAGGCGACACACGGCTGGCACTACCTGTGAAGGTACTATATGTGCCGGGCTCCCAGCTGTCGAAGCCCAATCCTCCCCCCGCCATCAAAGACCGGAAGGCGCCCGAAGGTGGTACGGAGGCATACTACGAAGACGGACGCATCTTCTTCGTGGTCTTGCTGTTGAACATGCCCTGCTGGTCCACAGTCTTGGCCACGTAATCAAGCGGCACGACCTTCAAAAAGTAATTCCAGTCGCGCAGGGGGTACAGTAGAGGGGGCGAACTTATGCACAGACGCTGACAAGCACGATATGATGCGATTGTCGGATTGAATCGCCTGACGGTGTGTATCGTGCAGCATACATTCTTGTTTCCGTGTAGATTTCAGAGGCAAAACACGTGGTAATGTACGTGTGTTGCGCGCAGCGTCTATGGTTTATGGGCTGAAAAACGGTCATATCACCCGGCGGTAGGCGGTAAAGGGATTCAGACAAACAAAAGACACGCTTCACGCTTCACGGGCTCCGCTTCTCTACCTGCCTGGTGTTGGAGAACAACGCAGGCAAGTTCCCCAGGAGCGATTAGGAACGGCGAAAAATCAAAAGAGTATTCATGTGGTTTACAATCAAGACCACCGGCCGTGTACGGCTCATCATGTAATAGGTTCTCCGACAGTACAGCAATCGAAGGAAACCGAGGCGCATGATATGGCAAACAAGGAAGATGGCGGATTCTGCTATTATACCGCTTTCTCTCTCTCTCTCTCTCTCTCTCTCTCTCTCGTTCTCTATCTCAACGAGCTCCGCAGCGCGTACCTTGATCTCGCGCATGCCGAGCGCAGAGCTCGTCTCCAGCTTGACGATCGCTTTCGTCGCCGACAAGCTCCCGCCTTCCACCCCGATCATGAACCCAGTCTTTCCCTTGTCCGGGCCCGCCACCAAGAGCACCTGGATTTACCCGAAGAGGGCGGGTGGGTTACGTGTTGACTGAACAGCCTCGAGCAACCTACCACGCATCCCTCTCCAGGCACGCATGGAGGCCGGGAAGGGATGTAATCAAATGTAGCACACGGCCTGATGACCAACGTGGCTTGAAGAACAGAAAAAAATAACTCCCTCCGGAAAACACCAACCACCTATGGGGAAGCAGCAGTACAGCTGTTTTCACCGGCCTGCATAAAACTCGAGCGCCCAAGAGAGCACCCCTGGGCCCAGAGCAACAAAGCGCACACAGCCGAAACGGCCAGGTCTCGCTCCGATTCAGCCCTGCCTTTGCATACGGTATTCGACGCGGGAGACGATGCCACCACGGTTACCGACGCGAGCCAAGCGCCTCGGGGAGCCCCTCCACTACAAGACAGTCCCGTGGAGAACACGAAATCCTTTCGCCGATACGTGTCACCTCTTCGTCCCTCTCTCTCTCCGCCGCCTTGTCCATCCCAGTTCTCCCTTCGACATGTTGTATTCGTATGTTTCTCTATCCTATCTCTCCCTCTACCTTCTCCTTCGCTGTCTCCCCCCCCGGCCGGCTCTCTGTCTGTCTTTCGTGTCTCTCCCTGTCTCTCTCTTACGTCTCTCTCTCTCTCTCTCTTGTCTCCCTCTCACATTGTCCTTGATCTTGGGAGGGTCCTTGCTAGGAGGCACATACTTGAGGCTGCTGTTCGACACATCCGCGTAGAAGCCCTCCGTGGACGTAACCGAATCGTACCCATCGTACAGGTTACCGGCCTATTCAGCGCAAACACGTCGGGGAAGGAAAGGAACCAAGAGACGAGCGAGCACCATCGGACATTCGACAACAACAAGGAGCAGCGCAGACGCAGCGGCAACAGCAAGCAAATGGAAGCTGCACTCCCTAGTCTGAAATCTACGAGCAAGGATATTTTTTTCATCGAACATTTACACAAAAATGCTGTTGGTGTGTGCTTGTAAGTTCCCCCTACCGTTTCACAACCCCAACGTTTCCTTGGTAGCCGCACACTTGGTAGTCTCTTATCTCGAGACGCTCCTCCGCGCGAGAGAACATCGTCCGGAGATCAGGGCCCGAACCGAGAGGAATGCGCAGAGAGAACAAAAAAAAATCGAAACTTCCTGCAACGGGGATACAGGTCTCCACCCAGTCACCTTCCGCCCCCTGCCGAGCCCAATTCTCGTAACGAAACCACACCGGTTTGGTGCAACCTCCACAGCCAAGTGGAGCCGCTCTCTCTCTCTCTCTCTCTCTCTCTCTCAAGTACCATCATTCTCGAGTAAACCTCACCCTTTGTTCCCGCTCACGCACATACCTTGAGATACCTGTCGTAGGCCACAGACATGGCCGCAAACGCTGACTGCGCCTCTCTGCTGTTCTGCTGCTCCGCCGCTCGCTTCAGGCGCTCAACCGCACCGTAGAATCGACCGACTTCGTACCTACGGGTACAGCAATCACGCCGACAGAGACAGACCAACAGCAGGTGGTTGGTTGGTTGATTCCGTCCGGATTGACTTGGTGCGGCTTGTCGAAAACAGGATATGGGGCAAAGGAAATTGATGTGTAACACATGGCACGTGGAGGTGATGGTGGTGGTGTTTTCGCGTTTTTCAAGACGCCTTTTTTAGTTTCTCTCAGAGAAGAAAACACTCGCGCTTTCTTTCTAGTGCTCGAGAGAAGATGCACGCATTCATGTCGTCTCTGCTTGTCGCCCTGGTCACTGCTCAGTCGGTCACCTGAGCGCGACCCTCGATGTGGTGTCGACGGGATCGTCCGTCGGGAAGGCGGCATCCGTGTACTTCGTGAACACGGGCACCAGCGTGCGGAACGCGTTCGGGTAGGTCGTTACCAGGTCCCAGTCCTGCCGAACGAGTAGCAAAAAAAAAAAACAGAGCGCGCGCCACGGTAAAAAAAAAACTACAATACTCATGCTACAATCGAACAACAATCAAATCGCATGGGCGTTTCTCGATGAAATCGCGTCGAAAAATGACCAACGAGCCCCGAGAGCAGCGGGCTTGTTCGCGCACATTGGGGGACGAAAAACAACACCTCATGCTGATGCGCAAGCTGTGTACACGGACGGCGGACGGCGACCTTCGTTTGATCACCGCATTTTTCGGTGGTGGCCGCATTACCCAACCTTCGACCTCTACATAACACACCGTAGGTGCAAGAGGACCGCGCCGGGCGGCGCTAGCTAGGGGCGGACGAAGGAAAATTCGTGAACGGTCGACCGGCATCGCAACAGGGGGTTACCGCGGTGCTGCGCGTTCCTCGCGGCAAGATGCGCCGACGGTTACATCGTTTCTCTCGAACATACCGACCGGCCGCATGTATCGCCGCACGAAGCAATGACACAACGGGACAAAAGCTCGCAACTCAGGAGGCAGTGGAGCTCGCGCCTAACCCTACCCTCCCACCACATCGACGCTAGCGGGGCCTATCCCCTACTGCACGAAGAAGCTTTCGTCCTCAAAAGCCGCAACCGAGTAGCATAGGGAGGCCAGCAACACAACAAGCGCCGGGAGCGAAAGAGAGCGTCTGGGCATGTGCCCATCAATACACGGAGTGTCGGGATGCGCCAGCTCCCCAAGCGCAGGCGTCGCTGTCAGCTTGGTGTGGCTGCTGTGCTCTGGTCCGCCTGCCATGTGTGTCTCACGCTGTTCGAGATGTCGTCTTGCAGCTCGTCCAGCATCTTAGCCGCTCGTCGGAGCTTGTCGCCGAACCTCAAGCGCATCACCTCAACAGCCGATCCCGCCTGCGCTTTGGCGGGGGCCGCACCTGTCGCCCCTCCCATTGCTACGGCGGCCAGGCTCAACCCCGCTTGCTGCACACGAGGGAGGCAAGGCCATTGAAAATGTTAATGGCGTGCATGTTTCTCAAGCACTACGTCCACCACGGACGCTTGAGGCTACGCCAAATATTGTGACACTAGGAAGCCTGTGTATCATCCATGAGTCAGAGATAATCCGTCTGGGGTGCTTGACTTCCTTCGGTTCTTATCACGTGACGGTTCAGCAATACTCCCCTATTGTCAAACAAGAAAAAATACTTCTTTATGATTTCGTACAAAGCCAGACGACACGAGAACAGACTCGGGGCAACTACAGACAACAGCAGAGACCGCAGAGATGCAAGCAGAGGAGAGATTGCGCAGCATCATGTCGTGTTTGGGGTTCTTGGGTACAAGATCCGATCTGGAGAGTATGCGTGGGGGGGGGGCTACTATTGGGGGTCCAAGTGCGGGGCTCCTCGAGAGCGAGAGAGAGCACGCACACGTGTTCACTGACTGAACTTTGCTCTATACTTCTGTGTGCTGGAAGGAGCACGGTGTGATAATAAGTTTTTTTTCATCTACATCGGTCCTCGGTTAACATAGTCCCCAGACTCTACAAGTATTCAACGTGCTAGCTGCCTCCGCGCCTTTCCACGGAGGCGCTACCGCGACTTCTCACGGAAGCATGAATTAGAGTCGGGGGACCATGTTAACCCAGGCCCGATGAAGATGACATAAACTTTGATTATCACACCGCGCTCCTTCCTGCACACAGAACTATAGACATGACGAGAAACGAGCCAACATAGTAGACACATGTGCGTGCTCTCTCTCGAGGGGCCCCGCACTTGGACCCCCAACAGCATACCCCCCCCACCCACACACACTGCTGTCCAGATCGGATCTCGTATCCAAGTACCCCAAACATGTCGTGGCGGCGGAAGGGTAGGCGCTGCAGGCAGCGTGTTAATACCAACGGGAGTGGGTCGTGTGCGGCGACATGGCTTGTCTTCGTTGCCGCCTGCCCCCCCCCTGCCTTGCTACCACCACTGATTTAATCGCAGCTGAAACAGCGAGATGGCTGTCAACTTACACGAACAGCCGCACGTACACATGCTGGTACCCGCGTCATATGGCGGGTAAGAAAACCTAAACGGGGGCAAGAGCCCCTGAGTACCCCCCCCCCGGGCGGCCCGGTTTCCTAACCCTAGCACCAAACCACGCCAGTCGTTAACTACCGGCAAGCAGGCTTCCTAAGCCGGGTGAGCACACCTTGAAGAAGTCCAGCCTAGACACACTGCCGCCACCGTCCATCACGACTGTTGTTCGGGTGCCCACGCTGCTTCCGCCGCCGCCATTGCTCCCTCGGCACGCCGTGCGTTGTGTCCGCGCTGACGCGTCCGCTGTGGTGGTGGCGGTGCTCGCGCCATCTCGCACCGCTGCCGCTGCTCTTGCTCTTTGCAGAGGAGCGCCTTGGAACAGCGATGCTTGGAAGGCGGCGGTGCCCGATAGGCACCCTGAGGACCCATCACATAGTCGGAGTTTGTGGAAAGGGGAGAGCGCGCGCGCAGAGTACAAAGTTTAGCATGTCTACGTCACCTTGCGATTGGAAAGGGGATGGGTATGGACGGGGAATGGGGAGTCGACCAAAGCTGCATATATAGGTTCAACTTTCGGTAGTTGGCCGTGATGCATACGTATGCCACCAGACTTCTTTGGTATAACCACAATAGGGTTGGAATAGGGCGGGGTCGATTTGTGCAATCCGGCCCCTGGCCCTGCTGTTGCTAGTGCATGCAGGTGTGTTCATAGCTGAGTTTGCTTCCTGCACAATATACACGCGGTTTCGGACGCCATACACTCCTACATTTCATCTCTGTTTCCATCTCTATTATAGTCTATCCGTCGACAGGTAATTCCACCACAAGTTGGTCCTCGCATACGCATACCGCGCAGTGATATCTCTCCTGTGGGTAACAGGCTCAACAAAACAGTTTGTGCGCGCCATCTTGAAGCTTGGCTATCGGGCTACTGCAGTGCCTCGTGGTATACAGCAGTCAAGTACTGTAGAAAGTCGCAGGTAGAAGGGTACGGCACCTTTAGGAAAGACTCTCTGTTGCTGGGTACCTGCTGCTACTGCACGATGTGGATCAATGCGTAACATCACCTACAGAAGAGAACGAAATACGAAGCCTTGTCTCGAGGCCGAACACATTTAGTACATCGCGCCCGGTTGGGCGTATTGCTCCTCACACGTGGGCCGTGAGCCTGCTGGCCGTGGCAACACACCCACCCACAGCCACGTTGTAATGTACAGGTGACAGGGGTAAAACATGAAAGTTGCATGTGCTGGGTCGGAGTTTTTGCGTACGTCGCACCCTGTCTTGAACCGTCTCTTCCAACAACAATTATTGAAAGCTTCACAATGGCAGACAGGGTAAGGATACCGGATTCTTCTCTACTATGTGACACACTACTGCTCAAGGCTCTACTACATGTCAGAGGCTACCTGCTGTAGGTTCACGACAAAGGCCAGCACATGCACATACTTTCCTCCAGCTGACAGGTAGATGGCAACAGGCGGGGATGTCAGCATGTCAGCTCAGATTCCAAAGTTGGAGTTGGCCACATGAAGTACATCTGGAATCCGCCCTATTGTGAGAGTAACCCAGCAGCAAGACAATGCCTTCCTTGACGTATAGGTCTGTAAAGGCTGTCACTGTCCTGAACAACTGCTGCTGCCGCATACCACAAGGTTCATGCGTGTCCGGAGAAGGAAGGGGAAACAAACACACTGCTGACATCCTGAGTCCTTTCACACCATGCGTAGAAGAGTATCACCCAAGTGCTCTCTACCACAACGCACCTGCACAAGCCAAGGTTACTGCTGATGCTGATACCCTCATCGTTCTCCGGGGACAGCAGGAGCACACCCCACACCTCAACAGACCAAGAGGAGGAGTACATCATGGCATCCCATGTTGAACGAATTCCTGGGGGCATTCTTAGCCCCCCCCCCCCCCCCCCCCCCCCCGTTAATACTTTTTGAGGGTCAAAAACAAGCCCCCCCCCCGGGCCGGGGGAAAGGGTCCGGGGGGGGTATTTTTTTCCCTTTTTCCCCCCCGGGGGGGGCCTGCCCAAAAACCAAAGTTGGGCCCCTATTTTTGGGGGGGGCTCCCCCCAATTTTGAAAAAAAAGAAAAAGTGAAAAAAAGGGGGCGCCGCAGGGATGGGGACCCGAGGAAAAATTAAAAAAAAAACCCCCCCCCCCTGACCGAATTTTGAA